ATAGTACCGCAATTTATTTTTAATTGTACCTTACTCGTTTCGATAATATTTGGAGCTCACATTACGGGCCAACTCAATATTGTGATAGAATGACGAAAAAAAACTCAACGATATTTTTAAAATTTTTATGGCTGATAATAATTGTACCTAAAATGTACCAAGCAATCAATTTATAAATTTGGCCTTTGTTATTTGGCCAAGCAATTTTCGTCGTATGCCGACGTTAAAAGACTTATAGCCGATTGCTCGGCCGAATTTTTCTGCGTTTTCGTTAGTCTGTTCGTAGCTATTTAAATTTTGCAATATTTCGATTGTTTCTTCCGTTGTTATTTGATTCAATTTCGGCGTTTTTTTCATCGCAAAAAAAGTCAAAATGCCATCGAAATGATAGACCGATGCGTCGATACATCGTTGCGAAGTTCCGCATACTAGAGTTGGAATCACACACGCGCGAACATGTCAATAACGGCATTTTTGTGCGTTCGTTCGTGCGAAATCAATATTTCGAACATTTCGTACGAATATTCGAATGTTCGAACTACATTTCGCACAAACGAACACCTTCCGAACGAACGAAAATATAGTTTCCTCGAGTCGCGATTTGTCAAAATAAGTTTGTTACCGACACAGAGCATTACATATATGTGAGCGTTTTGGCTTTGAATATATCCTCAAGGAGGAAAGTGTGGATGTGGATATAATTTGAATTTCGTGAATTTTTATTTCGAAAAATTGTATCTAAGAATGTACCAAGAAAATTATAATTGTATTTCACAGTATGAATTCGAATGGGGTTCGGACTGTCCTTTGAATACTGCCACCTAGGGGCTTAATTCAAAATTTTCAACGACTGAATTCTATAATAATATCTAAATTAACTGAATTTTTCAGCAAACGAATGAATTCCGGTGAATTCTACGGCGATTTCATTCAAATATGTGAGATATCACTATCTCTAGAATAATTTCTGCTGGCAATTACTGCAATACTTATATTTTGTGTAACAAAATTGTAAATGTTTTTTATATTTTTTTAATAAAAATTAATTTTATTTTCAATTTTGAGCGATTTTTTATCGAAAACAATCGGAAATATTGAAAAAATAATAAATTAAAAAATATTGCGGTTATCATAACCTCACTTTATTATTTTGACACATTTCATTCTATTCACACGAATTCACCGAACTCATCAATAACCACTCGATTCAAAAGTGTGAATTTACGTGAATTCCTGTGAATTTTTTTGCCGTATTAAGCCCCTAGACTGCCACTTTTCAAATGAACGAATACTTTTCCACGCAATTCACAAGTTCTGCTCATTTGTTTTGCATATACGAATGTCTCAAGGAAAATTGTCAAAAATAATAATCGAAACGTATCCCGATGTAGTTTAGAAAATTCATTTTAAAATTCATAACGATACTATCCATTTCAAGGCGTTGATTATAGTCAAATAAATTTTAAACTACAAACGCAGTGACTCGGTTTGTTCGGACGAAATAAACTAATTGTTTGGATTATCGAATTGTTTCGAATTTTCAAGAAAAACTTCCAATAAATTGTTTCAAAAAGAGTCTATTTATTTTTATTTTAAAGTCAAGCAGAACAAACAGAGGTGATTTAACGTACGTAGATTTCTATTACTCGTTTAAAGCCAATACGACTTTAACTACCCCTATTAGAAGAATTCACGCTTCGTGTACACTCGGCACATCTTCGCTACTTAGGCGAATATCAGCAGTAGAATTCACTGCGACATGGTCAAAAACATCAAGTAGTCATATGTAAATGGTTCATTCTCTTTTGTGCGAACTTTCTTTGACTGTGTATAGCTGTGATACAAACACATGCATTAGATGCACGACAGTTCGCAGTGAACTCAACGGCTGATATTCCGTAAAGCAGCGATGATGTGCCGAGTATACACGAAGCGTGAATTGTTCTAATACGCGTTACTGAAGTCGTATTGACTTTAAACGAGTATGTGTACAAAGTAAGATAGATGGAATGTTTTGAAATTTAATCCCTTCCCACTTGATGAGTGACAACAGGTGGATCAATACGAATGATGCGTTGGCCAACATTGAAATAGGCTTCATATTCAATGGTATTTGGTGTCGTATCGTAATGATAATGTCCGCCCCAATTACTCTTTGAAAAGCTATGGAAGTGCTGCAATCGCAAATCCAAATCCATGTCGTCCGATACGAATGTGCCCAAAGCAATCAATATTCCGGGCATTTCGTAAAACTTAAGCCAATTATTAACATCTTCATTGGTATGCAATGGTATTTTTGAAAAATCACGCATCACATGCTGATGGGCATTGCCATTTTTCAAAATAAAAACACCGCCGACACCTAATTTAAAAGAAACGTATTCGCATCATTCGGAATAAAAAAGAGGAAAAATACAGAGAATAAGTGAGATTTCTATTGACATACCGACGTGCTTATCGGCAAATGCTCTCTTAACCGCATTCTGACAAGCGGTAATAAAATTATCTGCTCGCAAACGTTTTTTACATTTCACATGAAGTACCTGCAAACAAATCCATTGAGTTTTCTTATTCAAATAATCAAAATTCAAATGTATGTTAAAGTGACAAACAACTTCAATCTACCTTTCCTTTCTGACCCTCTGACACGTACAAATTGGCCATAAGAGCGAATTTTGTTTCATTGTGTGGCACCTTTTGGGTGTCGCACAATTCATCGCCGGGCGTAACACGAGCAATATGAGTTTCATTCACAACGGAACCATCTTCATTGACCTTCAAATTGAATATACCCTAAAAAATAATCGTAAAAATTCATTGTCCGCAAGTTTTTTTTTTCGTTCACTATTAAATGTGATACCTCACAATTTGAGCCAATTAACGGATGCGGACCGGCGCCGGCACCACATAGATAAACATCTTTTGCGTTTGGCAAAACCTTGTGTGCAATATCAACTAAATCATAGATTTTTGTGCGATCAACAAGTGGCAATAGAAACGGTGGACCACCAACATCAACGATCGTCGCACTGCCCGACAAACCGCTCGAAGCCAAATGAAATGGTGCTGCTGTTAAATCCGGACATTCCACTTCTTCAACTGACACCTCCGCAAAGTTTTCACTTAAACCCGTTGACAGTGCTGTTATCATTGGAATAAATTTAAAATTTACAATTTGTGGCGTGAATGATAATAAATACGTTTGCACTTACCAGTTACCATTTCACTCAAACTCGGCACATACAATGGTTTCTCTTTCCATTGTAATTTTTCTACAGAAATCGCAGACATTTTTTGATTGAAACAACTGAACTACAATAAATAAACTAAAACTGTGCGTAAGGCAACCGAGTGTGTTGGATGATTTTGACGAAGTGAAATGGTACCTACAAAAATTAAAAATTTATATTGAAACGAACAAACAAATTTTCCACAGATTACACCACAAAAAAAAGATTCTATTGGTACTGTTGTTTAGAGATTAAAAACCACAGAATACTTAACCGATAATACTGGTTATCAGATTAACAGTCAAAACAAATGTAAACACAAATCGTACATACGTCAGCGGTGGCTAAGCGTTTCGTTCAAAGTGAAACGAATTTTAATTTTAATCGATGATACACCACACATACCACACACCGAACCAATACCAATATACTCAAATACGTTAAAAAGCAAAATAATAATACCTCAACACACATGAAATTGATTATTCTTGTATTCGGCTTTTGAATGGTGATAGTGGTCGAAATGAGAGATAACCTACTATCCCATGTATGCTATACTCAAACGTACGTAAATTCAATCGAAAGCAAGAGACTAAAAGAGCAAGAGAGAGAGAGAGAAAGCAAAAAACTCACAGCATCATTGCTGACTGTATTGTTTTAAGCAAAGTAAAACACTGGTAAAATCTAGGCTAAAATCATAAAAAACGCCAATATAGTATCAATGTGGCTGAGTGAAATGTGATTTTGTCTTGGTTTTGTGTTCGATGGAAATTTTGAGAGAAAAAACAAATGAACTATTTTCGTTAATTTCGAAACTATTTTCGTTAATTTTGTATGAATTTTTCTTTCTATTGCTGATTTATATTTTTTCTTCGTTTTTACGTTGAAAACACGATTGATTCAACCTTGCCTTAAATCAGTTGGATACAGTTCATGATATATTTAAATGCATGCTCGGCCGTTGTTCACCTTTTCTCCCCTAAAAGAGCAAGAGGTCTTTCATATTTGTATTAGACGTTGAGTGTTAATTGCAATGAATTCAAATGGAAAACAATGACACGATATATTTTTATCATATCAGTAACATGCATGTGATCAGTGTGATAAGCATTTATCGCCGACGGGAAATGCATTCAAATGTTTTAACACTCGATCAACAAAAATGTTGCACTTAAATTAAATAACGATTGTTTGACATGCTATCAAAGCAACCATATCGCTTACACAACTTACGACCGGTGAATGTCAAACCAAATTCATTTTATTCAATTGTTTACAATTGCTTGCGTCGAAATCGTTTCATATATCGGCCCAGGTTTCAATGGTAAATATTATTGCTTACCGACCAATGAAATTCTTTTGCGATCAATTTTTTTGGTTGGTACAGCAATTTATAAATGAATTGATATAAAAATAACGAGACAAATTTTGAAAGAAAAAAGTAAACAAATGTAAAGATAACGAATAAAAGGGGAAAAAATTCAAACTCGACTTGTTATTAATACATCGTAATCCAAAGAGAAAATTTTGTAAATTTTGTTTGCCAAGGTCAAATCGTATTTTGTCATGAAATCACCTCGGGTCACATTGAATATGATGTAATGCGTAAAAAAAATAACGATAGGCCCCGACGAGATTCGAACTCATGATCTCCTGTTTACTAGACAGGCGCTTTAACCAACTAAGCCACGGCGCCGTTGATACTTGAAATATCCAACATGCATTCATGCTCACATGGATTTTTCACTCATAATATTACCTCGCAAAAAGAATTCATTTTCACTATGTAAATGGAATTCAAAGCTATTAATATTAAAACATCTTGTATAAGCATTTTGCCTTTAATTTTGCAGAAAATTATTTTATTCATATAATTCAACTCTGTGGCAATTTGTTTAAAAATGAAAGAGGCGGTGTAATTTAGTATTGTTCAACACGATTGTCGGAAATTTCAAAATAAAATTGTGTTTCCGCAAAAATATTGCGACGGATGTGGTATCGAGACGATATTGACCAGAAGGCAGTAGGTGGATAGCTGGAAATACTTTGTGCATTACAATATTCATAAGCGGTCTGAAAATATCTCGAAATAATATTGGTTCCGGTTTTGATTCCAGCACATTTTTCCGGGTGCCTTTAGTTGAACTAATTGCAATAATTATTACAATAAGAATTATAATGTAACAAACGTTCTGTTAATATAATTAAACGTGTTGCTTCCATGCCAAACTTGTTGAGTTTTACGTTTTTAATTATTATTTCGTAAATAGATGAGTTCCGTTTGTTTCGGAAAGTGGAAAGATTTGATTGATCTGATTAAGCAGAATTTCTTTGTCAATCATCTTTATGAATAGAGAATTTATGCAACTGGCTGTACACAAAAATATTGTCGATTCTTATCTTGATAGCCGATTGCGTATTTGGCATCATGAACATTTTAAGTGAATTCGAGTCACACGAAATATATGATATTAGGTAAAAAATAACGATAGGCCCCGATGAGATTCGAACTCATGATCTCCTGTTTACTAGACAGGCGCTTTAACCAACTAAGCCACGGCGCCGTTAATATTTCAACTCCATCATATTTATTGAAGTATAAAAAATATTTACATTAGATGAAAACCATAGTTTTGACATGGAAATTTGCTTGACTTTCAGAAAATGTTGACTTTATTGGAAATTTTTAATTGACAATACGAATATATACGCAATTTTTTTATGTCCACAGTTTTTTACCAATTTTTATTTATAAAAATATTAATTCAAACTGAAAGAAAATTTAATGCGCAATAACAATAGGGCCCTCGAACACATGATCAGAAGCTATGTAAAAAAATGTGATGTGATAAAGAAGGATGCAGTGATTCGTTAATTGCTTACTTAGAGTAATGTGCTAGCCAGCATTTGCTCTAAGTAAGTCTTAGTGTCAATAGCAATTAACGAATCACTGGAAGGATGTGCATTTTTCATATAACGAGTGAGTCAGCTCATTTTTATGTTGGTACTCCTTATATTATCTCCGTGAAAACGTACTATTGATAAAAATCATAAAATTGCATTAAGTTTGGGAATTGTTCATTTTCTCAATGAAAAAGAAAAAGCAGGTGAAAGTCTGTGTAAAAAAAAAAATTGCGATAAGCACCGGCAGTGCGTCGTACATGAGGATGAACATCGAACGTTTAGCTCAAAATATCATCGCATTCCCATTCTAAATTTAGTATCTCCATTCAGCACACTTTTTTACGTCAAACATATATATTTGTAACATAATAATAAACTGAATATATTTGATGTCGCATTTGGTCACTTTCCAAATTTATAAAAAAAAATAGACTAAAAAAATGATATCAAGTATGAAAGTTAAACTTTATTGAAGAAAAAAAATTCAGTTTTATTTCGAAAGTAGAAGTATTATTCATTTATTTGCACTGTTGAAATGTTTGTTGCTTACAGGAAAGTGCCGATGTCTCATTAAAAACCTCATTTTTTCAACAAAAATTATGATAGAATTTTACATTTATTTGCTACGCTGCATCAATATGTACCCATAGCTTGCTTTCGGATTTACATAGTTCACCTTCCATGTTGGTTTATGTGATTGCTTTAACTCTTGACTAATCTCAATCAATTTAGATTTGTAATTGTCATACTGAAATTTGTCAACAGGCACCAACCTTATTATATTCAAATGTTTCTTTCTACCAAAGCTTTCTAATGTTTCCTTAAGATTCATGATAAATGGGAAATATGTAATGAATGCATTAATTTCAATCAATTTTTCAATATTTGATGCAATCACATTCAGTGTTTCCAGCTTCTTGAAACTGTTTATGAAATTAATTATGCGAGAATCATCGTAATTTCCTTTCAAGTTGATGCTTTTTAATTTTGGCATATTAAATGGATGCTTTTCAAACACGTGATTCAGGAAGTCGGTACCATCAATATGGATTTCAAGTGTTTGCACAGTTTTCATGTGTACTTCGATCGAGCGAAGAATATCTATTTTATCGTTCAATACGAGTCCAAGCGTAGACAACTGCTTATTTTTCGCAAAAATATGTTCAAGCTCATTTATTTGATACGACTCGAAATCAATCTTCAATTTTAATTCTTTCAATTTCTTGACATTTGTCATGCAATTTATACTAGAATTTATATTAATTTGCATAACTGAGTGAGACATAAAAAATCGATTGTAATAAAAATTCAAAGATGCAAGATTTGGAAATATCAAAAATTGAAACCTTCATGAACAAGTTTTCTCACATTTGGAAACTGAACTCTTTCTCCTCCGTTCTACAATTCATCCAAAACTGCCAAAAACGAATCAGTGGCGACTATGTGAAGGTCTGTAAATTTTTTTGCATACTTTTTGACAATATTTTCATTTATCTGATGGCGTTTGTATTTGTCAATTTTAATCTTCTTGATAAGGTCACCAAAGTTCTTAAAAAGTGATAGTATTCTTTTGCCACCGTAGATATTGAGATAAATGTTATCTCCTCGATGTCTTTGATCGACTTCTCTTATTTCTTCGTCGTCCCAATTCATTGGAATGATCTGAATTATACGATCTTCAAGTATGTTCTTGACAGCACCTAACGATCTCTGGCGGTCTTTTGCTGCTTTTTCCGTTGCACTGAAACCGGTCCTGAATAGGATTTCTTCATATACATTGTTTGGAAGATTTTTAAGATTTATACTGGTCGATGCCTCTTCTGACCCACCTGCACCTTCACATTGGCTTATCTGAATTCGTTTGTTTTTGAAATAAATTGGTTACAGTGAATTCAATGGCGCAAAAAAATGAAATGAAAAAAGATACTCACAAATCCTTCAAAGAAGATTAAAGCCAATGCCAATCCGTACAAAAACTTCATTGCGTCGTAATTTAAGAAAAAAACAAAAACCAACTAACTATTTTCAACGACAATTCAAGCGACAAGATGATTCAACTGATGGTTTTTGGGATTTGCGCAATGTGGCAACACACGTTGACTTTTATTCTATTTTTGATCTATTTATTACAAAAAACGTATGTATGACTGAAGAATGTTATTCATCTCATTTTGAAAAAATGTCAGGGCCTGACACGCGATATTCGTCTGACGTTATCATAAAATACCTATTCAATTTGATCAACATTAGATCGTATTATGGAAAATTATTCAAGTCCGTATTGTGGAAATGTTTCAAAATAATTCAAATAGTTTTTAAATATGTTTAAATACACCTTTACAATAACTTGTCCTTACTTATAAACCGGTCGTTTTAATACCTTAAAAATGTGAAGTTTTTGTACACCTAAAGTGCAAAAAATAATTGGGTTCGAATGTTTGGAGGTACACAATTTTCATTATCGAAAAATTTCCTGTGGTTTACACCAGTGTTCGCAACTTCAACCGAGTTCGGTATTGTTCGGATGCTTGGTGAAATTCCCACAAAAATAAAAGAAATATTTTTTTCACTTCAATCGATTCGATTGATTTTTTCTTGTTGTTAAAATATGGCCGGCTGTACTGAACATTCGTACGCTTTACACTGCTGTAAGAAACTTTGAAACCATTCCATTCTTAAGAGAAAATATTACATTTGGAACCAAAAAAGTCAATAATTTAATAGTGCTCTTTAAAAAAAGTTTACACATTTTTTTATGCAAAATTGGTCAATTTTTAAACATATTTCCAATTTTAACAAATATTGAAACGTTAAATTGGGTAACTTTGATTTCAATATGATAAAGTAAATCATTTTATTCAATTCTACATAGAAAAACGACAAATTCAAACGATTTTCGACTTTCGCTGCATATAATTTTCATACAGATGAATTTTAAAAAAGTCTCTCGAAATCTATTTTGAAGCTTATTTATCAAACGATTCTCAGCGTGAATCAGTTAAAGTCGCCAAACATGTTTAAACTTGCAAATGTTTTCGAAGATTGACCAATTTTCAATACATGAGGGATGGTGTGGGTGATCGAGATTCACATTTTGACTCTTCATAGCCTTCTCCGTTTGGAATTGTCTTCTCATCAAGTTGATGACATCAACGCAATTAACATTCTGAAATTATAATACTGGTAAATGTTACAAAATTGACTTGGTCTTCCATGTTCGTTTAAACAAACAATTAATTGTGTCAACAAAGCTGCTGATAAATTCCCGTGTTCAGCCGAAAGTCTGCTTTTGTTCATTGCAGTGGCGTACCTACGGGGGGTTTGAGGATAAAACCCTCCCATTGAGAATCAGCTTACACTAGATAAATTTGAATAATAGGAAGAAAGATGTAAAAAATTCACGCTTCGCTCGCAAACCTAACTTTTCCTTGTACCTTAGTTCAGTATTTTATTTCTTTCTTTCTCCACGATTGAAATAAATTTAACTTACAATTTAAATTATTTTAAACACTCTTTATACCAGAGCATGAATATGTCACTGACGAAGAGCGCGCTTGCTGGGAGCCGCTCCTAGCTATGAATGTGTTAGTGTGACGAACGTTGTTTGTATTAGTGTGTGCTGTATATCAATACCATAGGTTCTGACATAGTTCGCATAGGTCGCATTGACCCTCCCCTAGCGTCTGAGGCCCCCCTAGAATTTTGAGAATATACTCGATTTTCACAAGGAATAAAATCATTCCATTTTACTAGAGATTTTCATAATTTGAAAAATATTACATTTTGCTAGGATTTTTGGGTTTTTCAGAGCGGGGCCCCCCGTCGATTTTCGGACGTGACTCTCTCCTAAATTTACTATTGTCAGAACCTATTATCAATACGCACTCAGGAGCGGCTCCTGACAAGTACACCACGCTCTTCTGAGGCGCTGCGCTCGCTAAGCAGGCGCGTTCTTCACAAATGCGATTTCATACTCTGCTTTATACCCAAAATTTATCTACAAGCCAAATAAATATATTGCTTATCAAATTTGCTCAACTATTGGAATTATCTTGATAATATTTTGTAACCACGAGAATGAAGTAATAATAAATGTCCAATCATATGTAATTCTTCAAAACTTTAAGTCAAATAGTTCAGTAAAATGTATAACCATCTATTAGAGAAGGCCTTGGCCACAATCAGTCATTCACTCATTTAAAAAAAAAACGAATAAACAAGGCACTTCATCATTTAAAAAATTACGATTTTGGTCTTCTTACCATTGTAAATAGTTTTCAGTAAGATAGTGTCTATATTTTTTGTTCGACTTAATTTTATAGCTTTTATTGGGCTGAAGTTTGAATGTGAGTAGGATGATATAAACTTTTGAGTCATTTTTTGAAGACTTTAAACATTTTTGCTTTTCAATTTTCTCAAAAATGAATACACTAGATAGAATAGCCTTTTGGATATAATTCTCTTTCGATTTGCTAGGGATTTTGACGAAAAAAAAATTAAAACCCCCCTTAAGCTGACCTCTAAGTACGCCGCTGGTTCATTGTATCATGTACGCTATACTATGGCCCATATCATGCGATAGATTTAATGTCTATAAATGTTTGCATCTAAATTTAGGCTGCACAGACATGGGTTGATTCATTGTCAACCAATTTATTGATGTGAAAAGTTGCATTTAAAATTGGTATGAAAATCAAAATGGATTTCACCAAATGTATGCATTTCTTTCTTCGCAAGCATAATGGTAATTCAATTAAAATGGAATTGTACGCTTATGATGGATTTATTTTAATTTTGCATTCGTCGAAAGCACATATTTCTATACATACAATTGGCCATCGTGTGTATTGTGGCGGCATTTGTGTGCGTGTGTGTGTTATACACTTGAATAATCCATAGCGCTTTAACATTTCAAAGCGATTCGTAGTCATTACAAAATGCATTTGAACAGTTTGTTGTAGTATGTGTCTTCTTGGCTTGAAAATTAAATTATCACATGCCAGTAGTTGCAGTGATGTGTGAAAGAGAGCAACAGACCGACATATTTTTGACGGCGGAAAAAAAATAAATGTGTGTCAATGTGCTTACTGTCCGTTTTTTTTTTTGTAATCGACATCAAAGTACATTGTGCACATTTCACTGTGTCCTCGATGAATTTGAAGGAAAACAACAAAATATGCTTCTAGTCTTAATTGTTTCTTTGCATGGCGACTGTATTAGCATGTTCCGAACCAGATATAAATTGTATGTGTTTTTTGTGGAAGTGTTTGTTTGTCATGTCGTTGCACGTGCTATGAATATAAGGCTTTCGAAGCTGCCACAAAGCTCAATTAACATCGAATTTAATTCGGATTCAAAATAGCATGCATGTATAAGCACTGGCCTGAGCTAACTGGTGCGTTGGTGCTATTGATATTTGCTGTTCATTAACAGCTGATGAAAGTGTAAAGCCCGCAGGGACATCGTTCGCTAAAATGAGTGCGCGCCGATTAGATAATCATTGATTCGAGGCTTTCATTGGTAAACAATATAGGTTCCGGATTATCTTTAAAAATTCTAACGCTGGCGATCCAAGGGGCAAACAAAAAAAGCTTCTAGTTTTGGGAGGAAGCTCAATTCCGAAAATTTCAAATATGTAGAGGGGTACGAATTTGGCTCAATTAATCCGTAGCCAACCGAAAAAAATGTCCTGTCGCCAAAAACCCTAGAAATTTTAAAGAATTAATACTCAGAGATTTTCCACAATTTTTAAAAGGATCATTTCAAATCCGTTCTCCAGGAGTACTTTGCTCTAACCAGAAGTTATGCGATACCCCACCACAGCTATCAAAAACAGCAACTGACCGGTTAGCTCGAGTTCAGGTCTGTTAAGCACCGAATTTCGACTTCATTGTGCATAAAAGTATAATCAAGCAATTTAAAAAAAAAAATATTTTGCGCAGGAAACCAATAAAAAAACATTTGAATTTATTTACAGAACAATGGCAAATTGAACGATAAAATGATCTTCTTTATTTAAAATGAGATTCAATTTATAAAATTTTATTTATTTGAGTGTTTAAATTAAAAAAAAAAATTATCGCGGTTTGAGTAATATCAAAAGTGCATCGAATCAAAATGTGTTGCCAGACATTCACTTGATAATGTGACAGGAAAAAGAGATTTACTCATTTGTCTTTGACGGTCGGGCAAACTTTTTGGCCAAACAACAACAACAAATCCGACTACTGAGCAGTTGCACAAGAAAAACATTCAGTTATTAGAAGGCAAGCTGTGTGAGTTGTAGGTAGTTGCACACACGGCATGGCCTGGCGCACGTGTGTAATGTATATTTTCCAGTAAATGTTGCCTGAGTTCTAACACGCATACAATAAGGGGCATACTTGTGCAATTCGCAACGACACACAATTTCCATCCATCTATCCAACCGACGAACAAACGAAACGAAGCAAACCAGTCGAATATTATGATATGTGTATTGTGTGTGCTTCTAGCGTGCGCTCTTTCGTTCACACCGATTTCACTTGTCTCCACTTAAATTTGTGTATTGTATACATACACACACCGAAAAAATAAAATAAGTGGCAACAGCATAAAACCTGGAAACCATCGTGAGCAATAGCAACAGCAAACGAAAAAAATATGGGATGCTTTTGACTGCTTGAATGCTCGATTTTACACCATCGTATATTCAGTCTATGTTTGGCATTGCTACACACAATATCGATATCACATGCACACCACCACCAAAACATCATATCTCATCGCGTTTTGTTTCGATGTACGCAAAACACAAGCAACCGACACCAATCAAAACGAATAAAAAAAACGGTAAAGAACGGATTCAACGAAACAACGATAAAGAAAAAAAACGACAATACAACTTTGTTGAACATAGCGCGTGATCGACACAAAATACGGCCACCGAGATATCTAATGGATATACGACGACGAAAAGACAGGAAAAAAAATAGAAAATCTGAAAGAAACAACAAATAGTACAGAAATCCATTGTCTTATCGAAGAACATCAGTTGTTGTTTACGCGATATTCAACACGCATAGATAGGGAGAAGGAAAAAAGTACACGAACCAAT